TGTGTGTGTGTTTGTGTATATGTTGTTTTCTGTTTGATGAAGGAACAAATTCTATGTGAATCCATAAATAGTTATCTGATTTTCAAATAAGACTAAGTTCTGTGTAGCATTTGTGCAGGTATTCATTGATTTATATTGAAGGATTATTATACCTTTTAAAAGTGAATAAAAAACCGGGTTGAATAGATCACCACCCACTCTGCTAAAAGTGAGTCATGCAGTATAAATTGAGTTTGCAGTGCTAATCCTTCATTGCCATGACTGGCATTTTGTGAATAGCTTTGCAATCTGCAGAAACTGTTATTTTTCCTGCTTATTTTAGCTCATGAGCTGACATGAAATCCACCATGAGTATTTGAGGCTATCTGGTTTATGACATCATTATTGGCAACTGGTAATCCACCAGTTCCCACATTATAAATCTTTTATTTAGAACATAAATTATGAGTTGTGACCTGATTACAAACAATAAACTAAAGAAAAGAAGTCCATTTTTTTAGAACTGTGAGGTATTCTGAGAAGAAGCAAATACAATTCCTTTGTGTCATATTCAATTAAGCCTTATATATTTTTAGGGCTCAATTATTTAAGCTCTCGTTGGGACTACGTCTGAGATCTGTAAGGTTTGTAAGAGGGATGCTTATGTCTGTGATTTTTTTAATATATATTTTAGAGTCGATCATTGCCTGTGATATCTTTCATTAGAAAATGTTTAAGCTACATGCATTGGACTGTTACACACATACAACAGTTGTTATCTGTGGAACATTACAGCCTGTTAGATGGCAGCTGCAGCAGATGCTGATAATCCCTGTCAGCTGTTGATGTTGCTCAGCGTATGAAAGGGAGGGTTGACTTCCATTTACTTCGGCCAGCGAAGATTTATGGAAAACTAAATCAGTATTTAGTCTTTGTGTGCAGTCACAGAGATGTGTCTAAATGAAAAAAAAAGTGTGCTGTCAGTTTTCCTGTTGCTTTCAATAAACCTGTGTTTTCACCAGATATCTGGAGTGAGCAGTCATTCCAGACAGACCCTGACCTGCCACCAGGATGGAAGAAGATCACAGATATGGCCGGTGTCTACTACTGGCACATACCTACAGGCACCACTCAGTGGGAGAGGCCTGCCACCCGCCAAGCACCCCCTGGACAGATGGAGTCCCAGGCACCAGGCGACTACACAGCCTCAACGCCTCGTAAACACTCTGTGGGTTCGCTCAGCCCCTCACCCACTCCTGACCATGAGGTGAGAGACTGAACAACAGAGTGATACATACATAGTGATTGGATGAATTTTACTCTTCATTTGTGCTGCAACTGTGGGTTCACTTGTTTACATCTGCAATTGTTCTTTAAATATAATTATCTGAGTCTTTGTTGTGATTATCTGACAGTGGTCACTGACTACAGATTTAGATTAATGCCAAAAATATTGAAGTCAAACATTAAATTCAAACACAAGCATGTACTACACAATAATTTGAATACAACATATCTACAATATCAGTGCTCTTCTTCTAGCAGTGTTATTATCTATATAAGATAAAGATTTTATTGGTTTATGACATTTTTATCGCATCCTCTTTATTTTCATTTTAAATACAAAGTTTAATAAAAACAATTTGTATTAAAAAATGTTTATGCCCAGGTAAGGTGTGTTACACCTGCAGAAGATCTTTCCTGATCTCAGGATGAAACTATACAACTGATAACAATACTTTTAAATATCTACTCTTTGTATTAATCTTATCTGTTATGAGTCAATTTCTTATAACCGTGATTTTTAATATGTGTACGTATGTAGTTGTGCCAGGCAGAGGTTTTCTTCAGGTCGTCAATTCGTTCGGGCAGCACCACGTCCGACAGTTCAGTGGAGCCTCTCTCCTCTAATGAAACCACCATCCCCACATGTGGATTTGTCAACAGCTGCTACTTTGTAAGTAAAGAACATGCCCAGTTTTTCCACACTGTGCTGTTTGTGGTTTTGTGTATCTTTTGTAAAAGGCAGGCTATGTGGTATCTATATCGGGAGTTTCAGATGGGAGATCATATTTTTCTGATGCTATATTTTTATTTGGCGTAGAGANGGGGGGCATCAATGCTTCCATCTACCTTCAGAATACAGGAACGCAGCACTCCATCAATCAGTCAATCATGCTGAATGATAGAGGGAAATGGAGGGAGAGGAGAGGAGATTTATCGAGAGGAGTGTGGTGTAGATAAAATATTGATCCAGTGAGAAAGGACTGATGTTGTCAGGATGTCGTCCTGGCACATCTATCTGGAGCGGCTGACCTGTAGACTGTTGGAGTGTGAGCCAGTGACAATACAGCCAAAAACAGCACAGAGACAAATGTAGAGTCGATGCCTCTTAACTGTCACCGTGCAGGTTCTGGTCTGCGTCATCTCTCTCTGTCTCTTTCTGTTTATCTCTTCAGCCTCGGTCCACATCTCTGCAGGGGGCGTCGGATCAGGAGTGTTGCTCTCAGCATCATGAAGATGAGGACAAGGTGGGTCACTTTAAAACTTTCCATATTGTGTTTTCCTCCTCACCAGCCACTCAGTAGCCTTATTATCTGTTCTTTGTGTGTGTAAATGTGTGTGTAGGGCATAAATTATACCCACAGCATCTGTATGTGTGTTTGTATTACTGTATATATGAGATGTATCACATACAGGGCAGTCAGTATGTTCCAATACACACCGACTGTTCTCTATTTCTGTTTTGTGGATATTCCACTAATCAACAATCAGTAGAATCTCAGTAGTGATGTGAATGTTCAATAGGAGCAGAAAACATTTGCGAAAACTTCATAAACTCTCGATTGACATCTGCTCGGCTAAGAAATGTTTTGCTCCTTATTGCAACAGATGCTCAGTGTGGAGTGAGCTAGTTGGCTAACAGCCTTGTTCTGTCTTTCTTCCCTCGCTCCCCCTCCCACCCCTTTGACCCCCCAATCCTTTGACCCACCGATATGTGTGTGTGTTTGTGTGTTTTAATGCTACGTGTAGAAACAGGTGTGGAGTGAATTTGGCGGAAAGATTGATAGTGAGGTGTGGAAGGCAAGTATAATGCACTCGGTGTCGACGAGTCTTGTTCTAACTTCACCCACTCTTTGAGTGTGTGCGTTTATGCATCACATGCTAGAAATTCACTGCCTGGGTAAAAAGCATGTGTGGCTGATGCTTCAACACGAATGTACAGTAACTGCACCGACAGCAGCATCTTGTTATGCCTCATATGTCAGAACATCTGTTATGTGGCCGCAGCAACATACTGGGTTGTTTCTTTCTGTACTGGCTAAAACATGTACATATTTTTCCACCTGGCACAGATCTGAATGTGTTTGCACACAAGTGTATATGTGTACATGCTACTTTCTTTTCCATGTGCAGCATGCCCCATTACACATAACACACCAGTGCCATTTCTCCATCCAGCAAAGGGGTTCTGCCCACACTTGGATGCATGCTGGCATAGACTGTGTGGGGTCATAATATTTACTTTTGGCCTCTGCCAGGTTCGTCTCCTCAGCCCCTTTCCCACATGTAAACTGGGAATATTAAAGCAGTGAATGTGTTGTACCAGGAGCTTAAGTGGTTTTTATTCTTGGTGCTTGTACAGTGAGGTGGTGAACGTCACGAACGTCTACCACAGTTGTAGTTGCAACTAAAGCATCAACATTCCAAGGAAAACCACGCAGCTCTTCTGGGAGTTTCATATGTTGTGTATGTCAGAAATTTAAACATAAAGAGTAAGAAAATTCCACATCTGAAAATAACACACACATCGACACACACCAGCTACGTTGGAAAAAATGAAACCAAAAAGACAAACATTGACACGGTTTAGAATAATTTGAATTTGATATCCTCTTACAATAATAATACGTTTATTAAAATACATCTGGATCACTTTTATATGCATTACCTCAAAACTAAGTTACAAAAATATGAAACCAAATATTGGTGATGACAACGCTCTTCTGTCATCGCCAATGATGTCTGGAACTTTAATGTCCTTCAGAATCATAATAGTTTTTCCTTTCATATAAAACACCAGTGTACATGTGAATAATGATGCTAAGAATCAAAATTATGATGATGCTAATAATCATAATAAGAACTCAATATGCAACAAGTGCTTTACAAGAGAAGATTAAAAACAAACGTCAAAAATATTAATGAAAATAAACCATACCAATCAGGAAAAAGATTGTTCTTTCAAATTGAATCTAAATTGAAAAGATATGGTTTTGATTTCTTTTTCCTAGGGTTATTTGTTCTTTCCATAAAAACAAAACCAAAAGCAGCCAGATTCAGCCAGACATTCTGAAATGACTGAAGTCCCTCTCCAACTATTTTACAGGTCACATGTGTGAAAGAGGCTTTAAGGTGAAGGTCAAAGATGTAGGAGATATTTTGGTTTCATTTTACACTCTAAAGATTTCACCTGTGTGCACCAGGATCTGCAGGCAGCCACCGTGAACCCCGATCCCAGTCTGAAGGAGTTTGAGGGTGCAACGCTTCGCTACGCATCACTGAAGTTAAGGTGAAATACCTGTGCAGATACACATCTCTCTAAGCCTCCACAGTTACTCACACTTAGCTATAAAAAGTGTATTTTTCTTGCTTTCCACAGTCTGTAGCTCTCTCTAGCATTCTTGGTCTCTCTCCACTTTTTAGTTAGTTTCTCTAATCTTGTGTTAAATCAGCGTTAGAGTTAATTGAGGTCAGACGAAGCAGGAAGTCAGTCCTTCCACACAGGAAATGACTCCATGTCCCCTATTAGTATAATGACTCCTTGTAACTTTGTTAAGTTCACACACAGGACTCAAACCTTCTACACAAATCAGCTAATGGTTGCAATGGGAACACTGGGACAATGTAAGTGGTGGAGGATTAAAGGTTACATTAAAGGTTCTTCTTAAGTATTTACTTACTTACTTAAATAAGTGTTCACTTTGCTCTTGTTGTTGGAGGCGGGGTCTAAAGTTACCTGTCTGTGCTGATTTCATCAGTGGACCAATCCCCTTCTTGTTATTGATTACTTAAAAAACTTTTTAAAATATTAAAAAACAGTGTCAACATGTAACACAATGCATTGTAAAATGTAGTGAAGAAGTCTGGATACTTATTTACAATAACAAAATAAATTAAAAAATGTTTTACATCCCACCAGTGGATGCTGTTAATCTTATCTTGTTCTTATCTTAACCTTTTCAACTCCTTTCAGGAACCGTCCAACAGTAGAAGAAGAGGAGTCAAACTGCAACAACGGTGACCCAGAAACAAAGGTATGGAATCTTTTCCTCAGTTTAGATTGAGTTTAAAGCCAATATTACATTGCATGTTACATTTATTTTAATGTATGATCTTAGACACAAAATAGATGAATTTAATATCCCAAATATTCTGCAGCTATTGCAATTTTTCTGTTAAGAAAATGGATGTGCACAATACCATATAGAATTTAATAAATGGGTGAAAAGTCAATTAAAAAATTTCTTGTGCATCAAATAAGAAGCCTATTGCATGTTACCTTACTGGTAAGTATTAAAACATTATAAATAGGTGGCACATGACGTCTATCTGTGTCAAATCATCTTTTGCAGAATCTTAAGTTACAGACTTGTATCTTTTCTTATCCAACTTTTTTAAGCTGTATAATAGAGTCAGTTTTCCCAGCACACATTGCTTATTTTTGTTGAAAGGTTGTTGCATGTGTGTAACTGTCTGTTTATGTCCTCAGCCTGTTTGTTTACTGGTGGCTTATGAGATCATGGTTTCTGCACGATGAGGCAAGAGAGGGACTCTAAAAGAATACTGCCCCCCAGTGGTGACACAGAGAAGTACAGGGCCATGGTGCATTAATTAGATTTCTCTTAAACATTCAAATTTAAGATTCAAATGAGACATTTGAAGATTTAATCAAGCATCAGGCTCAATAAAACATATGACTCAGTAGAATGGTGAGATCAATCAGCTGATACTGTTTCTGGCAAAGTTAGACCAAGGTGTAAATCCAATTTAGAATCCAACTAATTAAACTGAAAAATAGATCAATTATTTATTTGGCCCGATACAGATTCATTTCATTCTGTCAAGAACCGCAGCAGATTTCTGGGAGGCTACATTCCAAGAAGTGTGTGTGTGTGTGTGTGGTTCCCACAGATGGCTGAATAGATCTGAAGCAGATCAAAGTTTAAAGCCGACACTCGGCTTGATGACGTGGTGCTGATTTGGCTGTCTGGTGTCTGTTTCCCTCTGTGTGTCTGGCAGAAAGTCACAATCCTTAGCAACAGGGACATTGTGATGAATAGCAGACACAAACACAGACCTGCACTCAGGGCATCTGGTCTGGTGGCGCACTCTGACACACTCACTCATCACACATCAATGGCAGCAAGCAGCACACTGCTGTGTTAAGATTGGGACTGTTCCCCATTCTCCCAGTGAGGGAGATGAATACAAACAGGACCTCACTCAACAACAGTTTATCAACGACCAGAAAACTGGCCAGATAAATCCAGTGCGCACACAGCTGCCATTCAACTAAACAAAGCTTAAATCAAATAATGTAGAAACCCTCTACTTCCAAAAAACGAAAACACACTTTATAACTTGCATGAAATGTAAACCAGCGCAGCCATCTGGAGACATTTGGGGTTCAGTGTTGCCTTAAGTCACTTCGGCATGTGGCCTGGATAAACTGAGAATCAAACCACCGACACGCAGATCAATGGATCACCCACTCTACCTCCTGAGTCACAGCCGCCCCAAGGCTGCATAGTGTTATGTGTCATGTAGCTGCTACCATCTGCTGGTCTGGATCAGTGACACAACTTTCACTAGACATGCAACGTGGAGAGAGTCACTGTGTGCGTGCATGCGTGCGTGCGTGCGCGTGTGTGTGTGTGTGTGTTGAAGTCATTATTAAATGCATGTCTGATTAAGAAATGCTTAAAGCAGAGCGTTTTTGTGTCTGCTGTTCAAAAAGAACATTAGATGAACAGCACTTTACTTCTGCTTCTATTCACACATGATGGACATATAATAAAATATCACTCTGGTCAAAAGTCAATAGGATCCACATACAAACAAGTTTTCTGTCACTTCTGTCTTTGTTCTACCTCCTCTGACCTCTTTGGTCTCTGAGGTCTGCAGAGAGCTGTCTGAATGGGCTCCTCAAATCAAATGAATACTTGATGAGGTCAGATGGATGGGTCTCTCTGCTTCCTCTCTCCATTTCTACCGACATGCTTTGTCGCCTTCATCCATCTTTTAGTCTGTGAGGAGTTCAAACTCTCTGGCTTTAGCCTCAGAACTCGCAGACTTAAATACTACAAGTTTATTACGAACAAGACAGGATTCATATTTTAGTCACCCACAAATGTCACCATTGTAGACTAAAAGTGATCTGAGGAATAGATTAGAAGGACCAAGACCAATAAGAGCTTTAAAAAACAAAAGGATTTAAAAATAGATTTTGAAGGAGACAGGTAGCCAGTGCACAGACTTTAAAGTGGCTGTATCTATTTCTGGTCTTAATCAACACACATGTGGCTGCATTTTGGAATAGTTGTAATTGACCTATATTCTTTTAAGGGAGACCAGTAAGTAGAGCATTACAGTAGTCAGTTCTGCATGCATGCATTAAAGTCTGTGGTCGTACTCAATGTAAAAGTTTCATCACTCTGTGTTTCCTCCAGTGTTTTGCAGTGCGCTCTCTGGGATGGGTGGAAATGGCCGAGGAGGACTTGGCTCCCGGAAAGAGCAGCGTTGCCGTTAACAACTGCATCCGACAGCTGTCCTACTGCAAGAACGACATCCGAGACACGGTCGGCATCTGGGGAGAGGTGAGACAGAAAGTGTTGGAATGCAGCGTGTGGGGATATTTGTTTGGGTTCCTTATAAAGGGTGCCTAGTTTGTGAGAATAAAGGATCCACAGAGAAGGTTTGTACAGATTTAAGATGATGAATATAAGAGTGAAGGTGGAGCAAAGAAAAGAACCACAGAAGTTAGCAGGGGCACAGTCCTCTGAAATGTATGTCAAGTGATGGAGGGAGGAGGGAAGAGAGGAAAGTGGAGCAATGTCTTTCCTTCGCTCTGCGGTGGTTGTGTTTAATGTGAAGCGACAGAACATACAGAGAGAGAGAGAGAGTGAGCATGCTTCATCCCTCTTTCGTTAACCTTTCATCTCCTAGAACCTCTTTTTAGGGTTTGATAATTTATTTAGAGGCCCTCAGAGCCAAAGGACACACACACACACACACACACACACACACACACACACACACACACACACTTACACAAACAAATAAACTTCAGATCTCATCACAAAAACACGTCATGCTTATTTCCCCCAGTTCAGGAGGTTATAATAAATGGTGCTTTAAAAGGTCAATCACTCTCTTACTTACCAAGTAAATATAAATGTGTGTGTCTTCAGGGGAAGGACATGTACCTGGTGCTGGAAAATAACATGTTGAACCTGGTCGACCCCATGGACCGCAGTGTGCTTCACTCGCAGCCAATTGCAAGTATCCGGGTCTGGGGCGTTGGCCGGGACAATGGCAGGTTAGTCACCATGGTAACTGTGTTAATTTGTTTTGTTTTTTCTTTGAAAATTGATTAATCCTCTTTTGTTTGTCTTCATGATTAATAATGATTGTGTCAGATGTTTTTCTCTGAATGCTTCCTGTGCTCTAAATCATCTGTAACATGTACTGATTACAAAAGATTCCAGCGTTAATAACCAATCACATGGGTCATGACTCACTGAGGGTATAATGTCCTTTTGTTGTTTAGGTTGAAGCTGCTAAATTATTTATTTGATGGATTAGTCACCAGTGTAAATGAAGTCATTGGTGCATCACACAAAAGGTCAGGGTGACAATTGAGGAGGGCGGACAGCCGGTGTGGCGGTCGACAGAAGAGAGAAGTTAATGATTGATGATGAAGAGGATGCTATTGAAAAATTAATTCATCAGTACAGAGGAGAGGATCAGAGGGAGAATGGCCTTTATTCTCTTTCACTACAAATCCCCATCTGACTGTCCCTCACTTTCACCTCAGCTCAGTTCAGCTCATCGTGCTTCACTGGAGACAAATTCACACACTGAAGTAAAGTGTCACAGCTGCTTCTGTGTTTTAAGCTCTTGAATGTAAAAAGGAAAGAAATAAACGAGCTTCACAAGTCTTCTCTTGACATATAGAGGTTCAAGTTAATCTCTAAATAAACACTGTTTCTGCTGCAGAGCAACCAGCAGAGGGCGCTGTGCACTGCTGCTGCATGCACAATAAGATCGCGAATGTAGGTTATCAGTGACGGACAGGTGATGTGGACCAGAGTGGTTAGTTGCTGCTGTATAATCGGAGCTGGCATGTGCACATGTGTACGCACGCACGCACGCACGCACACGCACACACACACACACACACACACACACACACACACACACACACAGACACAGGAGAGGCTTGGTTAAAAGCTCTTGGCATTAACAGAACTGCAGAATTCTGTTGCCTCAGGGATCTTTCTCTTCGGTCGTTTGCGCACACACACACACACACACACACACACACACACACACACGTACATGCAGCATATTTTTAATCCTGGCAGAATTAATGTATGTTTTCCGAATGCTTAACCTTTATTTCTACCATCCACATCTACATACAGCAGGCGAGCGAGAGCAGTGGGAATACCACAGCTGCAGCGGAGGGAGGAGGGGGAGGAGATGGTTAGAGGGAGGAGGAGAAGAGGGGAGAGGCAGAGAGGGGTATGAAGCTGCCAAAGGGGGAGGTATGGTTAGTTCCTCGCTGGGTGTGGAGCAGACAGGTTGAGGAGTGTGTGTCGGATCAGGAGGAATAGATGGTGTGAGGGTTGAAAGATTCTCCTGTACAGAGGATTATCTGCCAAAATAAGAAAACAAACCAGTGTGAGTATATTTATATTACATCACTTGATTTTAGTTTAAGTTTAAAGTAGTGGGAAAAGAAAGAGAAGCTACAGATAAGAGTGATGAGGCCCCAGTCTTAGGGGATGTTGCTGAGTGGATAGTTTATCTTTGGTTTTTTAGTGATTGGTGCTATATCCATGGTTGGGTGTTAATTATAAAGAGATGATGTGATAAAACAGTTCCGTTATCCTAAAACTTCAAGTGTGTGAAAAATCGAAGTGCTAATAACCCAGAGAAGCTTTTTTTATAGTTAACTATGCAGCAAATTGACATTACAATGTAAGTTAGAAATATCGATCTCCATCACGCTGAATGTTCAAATTCATGGTTAATATTTAAAATACTTAAAATGTATATGTAGCAATGTGTTTTTCATTTTATGACTTCCACCAAGGAGGATGCTCTCATCTGTTTTTTTTTTTCTTTTTTAGCAAAAACTACCCGATCGATTTCTGTGAAATTCCGTAGAAGGGGTGGGGCATCAATCAAAGAAGAACCCATTTAATTTGGTACGGATCTGTATCAGGGGCGGATCCAGGATTTCTTTTTAACTTCCTTTAAAATTGCGAGATAGGGCATTTTACTACATTTTTGTTGATCAGAATAATAAGAATAATTCATGGAACTCGATGGAAAAAAACTCAAAATAAAATTCTGAATTTAGTGAATTTAAATGTGGTGTCATAAGGGGACTGTTGGACCTTGGCGGAGGTATGCGCTCGACTGAGTGTCACTCTAGTTTATTCATGTGTTGTTGGACTTTTCTGCTTGAAGATGTTGGCGGCAGGAAATGGCAGCTACCAGTTTTCAGTGTTATGGAACGTTTGGGGCAGGGTTTCTCCCTTAATACTCACACACACACACACACACACACACACACACACACACACACACACACACACACACACACACACACNCACACACACACACACACACACACACACACACACACACACACACACACACACACACACACACACACACACACACGTGAGGGAGATCTGAGTGCCCCCCCATGTGCCACGAAACTCATTATTGCCACAGAGATTACAGATTCCCTCAGCAACCTTGACGTTTGCAGTGGCGCTGCATGATCATAAGATTATATTCAAAATGAGATATCACCCCCTCCTCTCTCTCTTTGCTCTGACTTTTATCTCCCCTCCTCATCTGGGTGTTTTATTTGCCCTCGTCATCACTCTTTCATCTTTATCATGTATGTTGTTGCAGTTAACTTCCAATTTCCTCCCCCAGTATTCCACATTTGCCTCATAATATTCCTTACTCCCCCTCATTCTCCCTCTCAGTCACTTCTTTTAGGCTATATGGCTTTTGGAAACTCCCAGCCTCTTTCTTCTATTCCTGTCAAGAAACAAACCATCAGCAGCCAGTCAAAATCTTTTTGTCCCTCCCGTCTCTCCATCCTTTCAGCCTCATTCAATCTCTATCGCTTTTTCATATTTCACCTCAAGGTTAAGTATGTATTGAAATTACTTGCACTGCTGCTTTTAATCTGAGCTACAGCCCCTTCGGCCCACACGCACACATACATATGCATAAGGAGAAAGAAATCAATATGTCACTCAAGGTTAATTCCTTATGTATGTCACTGGGTCAGTTTGTCATTTTCTACTTTGCAGTACCACAGATTTCTTTTCTCTACTAACTCTCTGCCTTTTCCTCCCTTGCTTCCTCGGACCCAGAGAGAGGTAAACACGTTCTTTCCTTTCATTCCCAGATGTTCCTCAAGTATCTCTCCATCATCTCCTTCTCTGTCGTCCCTTATTGTTTAATTTCCTCTGCGTCTTCATTTTTTTTTCATTCTCAAAGTGGACCTTGATGTACTGTAGTACTGTGAGCACTCACTTAGAGACATAGGAAATGAAGGTGACCTCCTCTGTTCTTCTCTGTCTTCAAGCATTTCTTTAAAAGTACACATTCGTACATACAGCCACACAAATAGGAATCTTTTGTGGAGAGTTTCCCTGAGGGTCTGGACTCAGAAATCTCCTTATAGCCCTCAGGCTGTTTCCTATTTCCTGGAATATTGAAGCACACATCTTGAAGAAGGTTGTTTAGTTTGGGTTTAAGTGCATTTTTTGAATAATGTAAACCGTGTGCGTGCGTGCGTGCGTGTGTGTATTTGGTGCCGCTATATTTCTTCTCCACATCATTCTATGCCTTCATTCCTCTCTCCCTCTGTCTACATTCCTTTCTTCTTTTCATTCCTTCTATTCAGTGAGAGTTAAATTGTTTTCGGCTCCAGTGGGCCCACGGGAAAGTTCTTCCCTGCTGTCGCTCTGTTCAGCTCTTTCTCGCATCACGCTGCTCTATTAATCTCTGGGGTCCATCGACCTGCAAGTGTGTGTGTGTGTGCGTGTGTGTGTGTGTGTGTGTGCGCATGTGTGCGTGCGTGTGTGTGTATGTGTGTCCTGTCTCCATCCGACTGATAAAGGTCAGTTCATCTCTCATGTCGTCACCAAGAGCTGTCTGTCACACACTCAAAACCACTTCATCATTCATCTTTCTTGTCTTCAAGTAGAACTTAAACTTATCTAACAAACTCTCCACTCATCATTCATCCCTCTTCCATTTTCTCCTTTTCTGTGTCTGCATTGACTCTGTGTTTTTTTTTTCTTCCCTCTTTCAGGGACTTTGCATATGTGGCGAGGGATAAAAACACCAGGATCCTGAAATGTCATGTGTTCCGCTGTGACACGCCAGCCAAAGCCATTGCCACCAGCCTGCATGAGATCTGCTCCCGGGTGAGTGCTTCAGACTGGAGGAGGTTGAGGAGGAGGAGGAGGAGGAGGCTGACATGAGGCCAAGTGTGGATTTTGGCAAGATTAAGAGTCAATGTGTTGGATGAATGTTTCCACTGCCACTTAATAAGGAAAGCTTGGGGACAGGAAAAATATTCACGCAAAAAAATGAAACCTGTAAAAAATAATAATTCCTCTCTCATAACAGTATTACCTGCCTCAAAAAAGCATGTGTTTTTTTTAATCATGTTTACTCTTCCATGGTCGAGACCCATATTTTAATCATTGCACAGCATATCTGCATTCTTCAAAACTAAAAAAAAATAGATTAAAAGCATCTAAATTCCAGGAAGTGTTTTTCTTCCAAAACACAGTTAGAAGATAGCTTTCTCTCCCTTGCATGTTTATTCATCGATAAATACAGATTAATGCAAACTGGGTTAGAAGACCAGAAAACAAACTATGTTTTTAATGTCTCTGCTTTCTCCACCGAACTGTAAATTATTAATTAATGTACTTTCCTGTTGCCCCATTAAAACTTATTTACAGCTTTAGAGTTGTAATTCAGTGAAAAGTATTTTAATGTTTTCTTAATGTGTTTAGGCTCATAAGTTGAAATCGAGTCAACTTTGCATTAAAGGCTTTTTTAAGAATTCAAGTCATTTTATTTGATCTCTTTTTATGATCACTTACCTAAACAATATTTGTACTTTGTCCTCCTTCACAACCTCCTATAATAATACTAACTGCCCCACATTTTCCAGTCAGCCTATATTATAGATCCTTGTGTCTGTTTAATGCAGACCTGTCACACAAAAAAGGATCACCAAGGAAATGGGAAGAATTGGTCACAGCAGGGTTTGCTGAGATGCAGATTTGCTGTGACAAATTCTCTTATTAGGGACGTGTATAATTTATGTCTGGTTCTCTCTGTGTGTGTGTGTGT